AGAGCATGCCAGGATGCTGGGGGAGTCTGGTTTAACTTAAACCAGCAAGGGGTCTGGGACAGACATTTCATAAACCAGTTTGACTCAAACCAGTTAAGTCTGATATTACATTCAACCCGGTTTATCTCAAACAGGTTTCAGCCATTTTCAAACTGGTTTATATGCACTGAATGTCTGTATTGCTACAGGTTTAAATCAGTTTATGATCACTTAAACTGGTTTGTGTGTAATGTTTGTCCCTAGCCTGTGCCACCACATAGATTGAGGAGGCCTCATATACTACGAGCAAATATCTGTTCCCAGAGATGGATCCAGAGGGGGTGCATAATTAACACATTAATCTCACAATACTTTGCAAATGTTACACTTAATTTAATGTGGCATATCTTTGTAGCTGGTTTTGCATTGTGCTATAATTTGAACATGTGGTTTGCATCATGCTTTGATTTGAGTGTGCAGGGAGCTGAAGAGCACTTAAACCTACCCTTTGCAGTCTGATGCAGGGCTACAGGGTGTGGCTTTCAGCTTCCTGGAGTATAAGTAGGCCATCAGCTAATGAGCTCCATGCACACCTGCACCCACAGTCACCTGGTGCAGTCAGATGTTGAGCTATACTACACTATAACTTGCCAACAGGTGGGGAGCCCACAAGCTCTCTGCACACTGGCAAGTTGAAAGGGTGCTGCAGGAAGCACAATATCAGGGAACAGTCGTGAAGCCTGGCTCCCCATGCACATAGTCACTTAACTAGGATTTGATTAATTTTATCCCAGATTTTAAAAATTGCATGTCCTGCCATGCATGACAGGATGTACAATTTTGGGGATCTAGGATAAAGTTAATCAAATCTCAATTGCATGACTAATCTAACATATGCCAGGGGTTTAAGAACTGAAGCTAGAAAGCTTGTGTCCTCAAGACAGGAGAGTATACTATAGTTCCATATTAGAAATAACAAAATGCAAAGTCAGCTGAAGCCTTGGGTCTGATTCTTTTCTTGTGTCATCTTGCACTTGCATAAGATGGGTTTGTAAGGAGAATCAAACCCCAGGAGTGCTTCAGGGACATAGGATGCAACTACACTTTAAGAAAAATACTCTAAAAGTGTCCAGGATTTTTTCTCAAAGGCTACATTGTCAAATTTACTCAGCTTATAAGATAAAAAACAAAAGCAAAAGACCACTGCCTTTTGTAATAGCCATCTCTGCAAATTTAGCTGGTGTCCACAAATCATTCTGGGTCCTATCTGGCCCATACTTCATTACAAGTAGAAGAAATTCTGGGAGTATAATTAAGCTGACAAATCCATTGACACCTGAAGCAGAATAGAAAGGAACTCCTCCTCTAATCACTTTTGTTAGCTCTTCAGTACCACAAATAAAGAATTTAGTCCACTGTCCCTTTTATTTCCATAATTTCATCTCCACTATAAATAAGGGTGTGGACAGATGACAAATTACTCCAAATTAAAACGGGTGGAAAGAAAGACTCAGCCAGTAAGTAGCAACAGTTTCATGTGTCTTTGCTATTCCACAGCTTTCTTGATAGACTGCCAGAATTTAGGTTCTACTTATTGTGGAAAAGCATGGACACACAAAACGGTTACTATGCCGGGGTCAGCAACATTTTTGGCCAGAGTGCCAAAACACCCTGACCTTGACTTGTAAAATGTTGATGTGCCAGGGGCAGATGGCAGGGGAGCCATGAGGGGAACTGATTCTTGTTTTGGCAGCACAGCCCCAGTCCCTTCTACATGTCTGCCTAGAAGGGTGTGTGCAGCCACCACCGGCAGTGAACTGCACCGGGGCTCCACATGTCACCTTCCTTGCTGCCTGGGCTCTGTGGTGGGCAGCAGGGGCCTGCCTAAGCTGTAGCAGGTGTTAGGAGGCTTCAAGCTGCTGCACCGTGGTCTGTGGATCCCAGGTTCTGCTCATTGCTGGCAGCGGGTGCCTGAATACCTCAGAGTGTTCAGGTAGGGAAGGGGCTGGGGATATGCTGCCCCAAAAAGGTTCAGGCCACTTGAAGCTCCCCTGCCGTCTGCCTCAAGGCATGCATGCACCTGCCACCAGCAATGAGCTGGACCAGGGCTGCACAGACCTTGCTGCAGCAGCTTGCAGCCTTCAAACTGCCTGCTATAGCTGGCCTGCACTCTAGACAGGCCCCTGCTACCTGTCTGGGCTGCTCACAGCAAGCAGTGGGGAGGCTGTAAGCAGCTGCAGTGAGGCCTGTGGAGCCCTGGACCAGCTCATTGCTGGCAACGAGTGCACGCACACCTCTGGGCAGACAGTGTGGGGGAAGCTGGAAGGGACCCAATCCTTGTTGTGGTAGCACAGCACCAGCCCTTTCTCTGCCATCCACCCCAAGGTGTGTAAGCCAAGCAACATGCCTTTTCATGCTGTACTGGCATGCATGCCAGGGGTTGCTAACTGCTGTTACCTATCAGCTCTCTGTTCCTGGGCAACCTTAGCACAGTACCCAGCCTGTCTGACTCACAAAAGACTCTCCCCCCGCACCTCTTCCTGAACCAGAACTGATCAAAAGAAGGACTTACAAAAGGCAATGAAGATGCAGTGAGAGACACATCTAAACCCCTCTGGATAAGGCAACTTCCCTAGTCTCATTTGCATGGGAGATGGGAAAAGGAGGCACCTCCATTAGCATTCAGAATGGAGAACAGAGATTCCAAGGCAAGGACCACATTGAACTCTGCAACCAGAGAAGCGGGAAAGCACTGCATGATGGGGAATCCCTCCTCCAAATGCTAATCAACCCAAGTCTGCACCCAGCTCAGCATTTATCAGACCAATTCTATTGATGACTCCTTTATTGGTACCCAAAACACTGAATCTGCCTGTTTGTATTGTGAGATCCCTCAGGGTAACACCGCCCATAGCCAGGGATGATCAGCTCCTCGTGTCCAGCATAACAAAACAACTCTAGTATACTACCTTGAGCCACCATTTACCCATAAACAAACCTAGTATTCTCCATTGAACCATTGTTATTTTCCTACAAAAACCCCTACCCAAGCTCAAGTTTCTGTTCTGGTGCTTGGATCCAAAAGCTGCGCTAGTTCCACTGGGACTTCACCTCTTTTCCTGCCTTGAATACCTCCACCGATTGTGCTGGGGGCCTCTGCCCATCTCAGGCACTCTGGACCCTAAGTTGAACAACTTGCCTACAAGCTCCAACAAACACCTGGGAACCTCGACCAGTTCAAGCTTCCCTGAGTGGTGAGACCCCAACTCTCCCTCTCTCTCTCTCTCTCTCTCTCTTACTCCACAGGCACAGCTTTCTAAACCTGATTTTTGCTGATCAACATTTAGCAAGCCCACTTTCTAAATCTCAGACTTAGTTTAATCCCTCTCTCTCTGAAAGGCGACATGTAAAGGGGTCACGTGCCCCCCCTGAGAGCACTGGTGCCCCCCCCCTGAGAGTGAGCGCTTTGGCTGGTAGGGGGCCATGGAGGGCGCTCATGCTCCCCCTGAAATTGGCTCTGCTGGTGGGACGCTGGTGGCAGAAGTGCCGGCAGTGGTAGTGTCGGCAC